GTGCGGCGGGGGGAGTGCCGCTGCGCTGCCCTTGGGCTGCGGTCATGGCGTCGCGGCTGTTCCCTGTCGTCAAGTGAGTGCGACTCCCGGACCCCCCCCGGCGGGGGGCGCACGGGGAGGGGCACACGTGCGTCTTCGGGGGGTCCAAGGGGGCGCCCGCCTATGGCTAGGGAACACACATGTCCAGGGGGGCACGTGACTAAGGAACACGCGTATCCTGGGTGGGTGCGTGCGTGCCATGTGTGCGGGGGAGCACGTGATTGGGGAACTCGTGTGTCAAGGGGTGTACATGTGTCTGGGGGGTGATTGGGGAACACACGTGTCTGGGGAGTGCAGGTGTGCGGGGGGCACATATAACCAGGGACACAGTGCCCTGGGTTGCGGGGGAGGGGCCCGTGTCCCCTGGGGGGAGGGGGGGCTACTTCAATAGCATCTTAAGTCATGTGAGACCTGCCCCTTCTGCCACCGGGTCCTGCTCCCAGCCCGCGGGGCGAGCGATTCTGTCTCTAACAGTGCGCTCTGCGCTTCCCTCCCAGGTTTGTGGTCAAGGGCAGCCTGGCCGGCGGCGCGGTGTATGTGGCGTACGACCAGGGCCTGCTGGGAAGCAGCAAGCAAGGTGCCGAAGCCCTCCGCAAGGCGCAAGCGGCGCTGCCTCCAGCCATCCAGGAATGGACGAATTACGTCGGCTGGGAGGTGAGGACTGTGCGGGCGGTCCGGGGGGGCAGCCAAAGGGAGCCCCTCGCTGGAGGGGGAAGGAAGCGGAATTTGGATTCTCCCACGGGCATCGTTTTGCTGCTGACTCCAGCGGAGTTGGGATTTCACCTTGGAAGGAAAAGGGATTTTGAACTAGCCACAGGTCTCATCGGAGGTGGGGTCTGCAAGAAAAAAGTTTGCGGAGGACAGTAGAGGAGAGTGAACGTGTCATCTGGGACATACTTTCTCAACCTGTGGTACATGTACCCTTGGGGGTATGCGAGACAGGCAGGGGGTATGCGGGTACCCCAACACACTCTCACCCTCTTTTCTTCTCTCTCTCGCCCCTTCCATCTCTCAAAACTATGGCAAAAAATTTGGTGCACTGTGCATTGCACAGTGCTTTAAATTCCCCAGTAATAATTTGGCATGCCATGCTTTGCATAGCGCTGGATGCAGCCCTAACTTTGGCCAACATCACCTCTACCCCAGGTACATACTTGAGTTGTGCATCCCTGGTGTAAAAGCTGGCGACTCTACACACACCAGATCAGACATCTGTCATATCACGGCCTTGTATACACTGCCCTTCTTCCAACATATGGCGCACAGTAGCCTGAAAATAGAAAATCCTCTGGAAAATTGAGTGTTGGGGTACTTATCAAGCTTTCTCAGAAGTTAGGGGGTACTTGCTTCTTAAAAGGTTGAGAAACACTGATCTGGGAGGTGTTTTTATGATGAATAATGCCCCTGATCCCTTCTCTGAAAGCCTCTAAATTGGAGGTTCCAAGCCACCGGGCCATGGCTGTGAAGGGCTGGCTGCCAGGTCATACCACAAGCCGCCCTCTCGGACCCCAATCTGTCCACCCTGGCGGCAGTCACAGCTGGGTGCTGAGGCAGCACCGAGGAGGCGGCAACCAGCCCCATCCTGCTTCGCAGTGTAAAAAAGGTTGGGAACTATTGCTCTAAAAATTACTGAACAGATCCACCCTCAAAGACCCCACTCCTGCTCTGCTGCTTCCTGTTAATAACATGGTTTATAAATTGCTTGAGGTAGTTTTCCCTTGGCCTGGCTCTGACTCCCTAGAATAGAAGATCTGCAGTGCAAGGACAGTGTTTCCTGGACTAGGAAAACCCTAGTGCCATAAATCGAGATATAACCATAATAAACCAAGTCCTGGCTTACATAAGATTTAACGGTGACATTTTTAAAAGCAGCCAAGTGGATTCAGATCTAAATCATTTTGGTGTACTTCTGAAATGCTACTTGCTGCCCCAGACTTACAGATGGGCCAGTAAAAGAGAAGTTAAGAGCCCCGGTTTATTTTCTGTGCCCCCTGGAAATGAAGAGGGAGTTAGGTGCCCAAATACCTTTAACAATCGGGGCCCGAGGGCCTTGTTCAGCATGACCCGGGAAGCCTGGTGGTGCCTGCTCTGCTCTTTCCTCTCTTAGCATGTTGCTTAGTGGCTTTGTGTGTAGCTAATGGGCCAGACATTGAGATTTTGCCTCTTGTTTTCTCTTTCAGCTTCCATCTACTCCAAAATTTGACTTTTCGGTCTCTGAATCCTGGAACAAAGGTAAGGCTCCTGCTTTTTTGCTGCAGAAGGGGGCTGCTGTCACTGATGTAACTTATCCTAGAATCCTATTGTGAGGATGCAGTGCTGTATCCTTATACTGAACGCTGAAGCAAAGGGATGGAAGGCAGGCAGCAAGAGCTAGTGCATGGAGCACTGTATTAGTATTTGGGAGACCTGGCTCTGCCACTGACCTTCAGGGTGGCTTTGGGTGGATCTCTTTGCAACTCCAGTTCCTCAGTTTCCTCACCTGTAAAATGGGGATAATATTTGGCCACCTTTATTCAAAAGTGCTTTAAAATCTACTGATAAAAATGCCATGTAAAAGGCAGGTGGCCTTTTTGTAGCCAGTAACCCAAGTACAGCAGCACTTGTAGAATTGGCAACAGAGTGTGATAGTGCCGAGTTCCTTTTTAGAAGGTTCTCGATTTAAAAATTGAGTTCTATAAAATCCTTCGAGTGCTAGTACAATGAGACTCTGCTTCTAACCTGCTGTGATGGTCTGAAAATGTAAGATGGTTATTGGGACTTCTCCAAATAATACAATGCCCTTCTCCAGCCTTTTTGATCTGATCATTGCCAACACATGTGGAAAACATCTAGAAAATTAACTCAACCTGCTTCTCATTTTCCAGAAGGAGAGACTGGACAAGTTGCTTACTGTTTCCAGGCCTGAGTTGCATAGCAAGTCTGTGTCAGAACCAGGAATAAAATACAGACTACCCAGGACCCAGGCCTGTGCTGTAACCAAGAAGTCTCCCTTCCTTCAGACCCCATTAATATCCTAGAAAGATAGGGTTGAAAGGGACCACAAGAGGACATCTCGTTCAGCCCCCTGCTCAATACAGGGGCTGAATTGCCCCAAACATTTGCCAAACCTACACTTACAAGCTTCCAAGGACAAAGGCTACACCACTCCCCTGGCTAGTGATGTAGGTAATGGTGGTGGGGAGGGCCCACTGACTACTGATGAGACCATAACAACTGCACCAGAATCAAGAATTACTCGGGCCTAGACTTGACTGAAGGTTCCCTTGATATAAGCCAAGATCTCTGGTATTACGTTTAAACGGGGAAGGGTGTGACACCCATGATACCACATTATTCGTGGTACAACATATGCTTTGTTAATGCTCTTCTCAGGACTCCCCTCCATGTCTTTTCTTGCAGGAGTTCACACTGCCGTGTCGGCTCTGTCTGTAGCTCCCACCAGGGCTCGTGAATACACCCAGAAAGGCTGGAAGTATGTGAAGGACCTTGCTAAATGAACACTCTCCAGGGCTCGCTGCGTCTCCGAGATGACGCACAGCATGCATCTCTAAGGGGCAGCTCAGCCACGCAAGGGCTACAATAAAAGACTTTGGAACTTCCCTTTGCATTCGGGTTAGTGTCGGCACGTAGGCTCTGCCACGGGGGCTAGGAGCTGCAATGGGGACAGGGCCTGATTTGGGGTGAGTTTTACCTAAACCCGTGCATTTAGCCACTGTTATAAAGTTTACCATCTCCACTGATTGCTAGGAAACCAGGTCTTTCAGAATTGTATATGTGTAAACCAAAACCCTACAATACCTAACCAGCCCAACAGACGTACTAAAAGATCTGGTCCAAGGACAAAGCCCAGTACAAATAATCAGAGTTTCAGCAAATGCAAGGGGACAAGGAGCCTTTTTCTATCTTAAGCTAAATCCACTGGACTGACTGGTATCTCTGACTTATCATCCCATCCTTTATAACCCCCAACATTGATTAATGCCAATCTTGTGTCCCCTTTGAATCTACTGATTGCGTAGCCTTATTCAAATCTACCTAGATTTTGGTCTCACTCACTTCAATGAGACCTTGACTAATACAGCCTTGTTTCCACGTAGCATATAGGCAGTGCCATCAGACCAGCCTTTTGCCAAGGAAAGAAATGATGCCTCTTGTGAAAGGTGTCTTGAATTCTTTTTTGAAACATGTGAAGGGTGATATAGGAAATGATTCAAAGCAGGAAAGGTTAATCACTTTGCTGATGGAGACCAGCTTCTGAGATGGAAGGTATATCTACAATTCAGGCACTGTGGCTTGCAAAGACCTACTTGAGCTAATTTTAAAACTAACCAGCTTGGGTGCCAGTGGCTGGCTAGCTGTGGAAGCTACAGTCTGGAGTAATTATTCTTGGAGCATTTACCTATCTTGGGTGGGTGTTGCAGCCTGCCTTCCATGTGGCTGCAGCTATGCTGACAAAAGTACCCAAACTCAGTAGTTTAATGCGAGCACCTGTATCTCTATACAAGCTGCAGGGTGAACATCAATTCTGTCCACACCTGGGCAGAAGGCCGAGCTGCAAAGAGCTGAAGCAAAAGTCACTCAGCAAATCTGGCAGTGGAAGGACTAACCTTACACAGAAGCATTTGAGGCTCCTATTGTGCTCTACTGGGCGGAGGGCAGAACCCAGGAATCTTAGATCCCAAGAGCTGGTTTTTCAGCAGAAGTTGCTGGGGACAAGTTCAGTCCCTTCTTTTATGTGCCTGTCATGAGCTGAGACCTCTTGGAAGATCCACTCGTGAGGGGGTTTGTGAGCACTGCTGGATCTGGATGCTTTGCTATATGATAGTTTCATACTCCTGGTGCGTGGTTTCCATGTAGAACTCCTCGTGTTCACGGTATATTAACATCCGTCTGTGCTGAGGCTGCTGGCTGGCTGAGGCCTCCCTGACTGTGCTCTTTGTGCCTTTCTCTTCTAAGTAAAAAAGAAACAAAACCAAACCACTATCAGCAGTGATTCTTCTGTAGCAGTTGGGATGAGCTCCTAGCTGTTGCACGCAGAGCGGTATCTCTGGTGTCCCTGCCCCAGGGTCAGGGACCGAGAACAATCCATTGTGAAAATGGGCTCAGTAGCTGGGTGCTGAGAGTGTTTGGAGCAGGGAATTTAACTTGCGTAAAACTACACAAGGCTCCTAGTTGGCTTTGGCAGGGCATCGTGTCTGGTGGCTTCTCTGGCCCTAGAGGCTTGGTGCGGGCCTGGTACTCAAACCTGGTGACTGCTGGGTCTTGCTCAGATGGTCAAGGCTAGACAAGTCACCAGACTTGAGTTTGGGAAGCAGGTCCCTGGGGCAGATTAATAAGGACTTGTGGGGGATTCTGCCTTTGCTGCAGCAAGGGGCCTAATATAAGCCCGAGGTCAATGGTGATGTGGAGTAAGAGACAGAGGTTGGGGATTAACGGAGGAAACAGGCATGATCAGCTAGTTACCGGGGCACCTCTGATGTTTTGTCCCCAGATTTTCTATGGGTGTGACTTGGGCTCCGCTCTCCTTTCCCCAAGAGATAGATGGATGATTTTGAGTGGCAATTCCCATGGCTCCCCCAGAGCAAGTTTCCACTTTGTCCACTGGACAGAACTGGGGAAGGTGCCGGCTGTGCTGGCCCACGTCCCTCAGCGTTCCCCAGAGCAGGAGCTGAAACTCCCTAGGGTAGCAGGAACTGGATGAGGCAAGGTGGGAATTATTTGAAACCTCCACTTACCTGTTTCACTATCGAGAGTCCTTCCAAAGAGGAAGACGGTGCCAGCCATCATTGCCGCCAAAGTCAGGATCATCGCAAGCACAGCCCACCAGCGCTTCTGAGGGACAAAGCCAGGCCACTGCTCAATCCTCAGCGGCCTGAGGAGCTGGGTACCTTCCACCCTACCTTGGGAATCGTATCTGGACCTGGACCTGCTCCTAAGCTATCCAAACTGCCTTACTGCCAGCTGTTCTGCAAGGGATGCGGCTGTCACCACCTGCATGGTGCAGGGAATGGAGATGCCAGTAACTTAACCAAGGTCATGCACCCAGTCAGCAGCAGGGTTTGGAACACAAGGTAGGAATCCCAGAGCTGCCTTATTCATAGACTCATACCTTGTAAGACTGGAAGGGATCTTGGAAGATCATTGGGTCCAGCCCCTCTGCACTAGGCCTTGACTCAACTATCCACTTCCCCCACATGCTTGTCCACCTACAGCCCTAGTCAGGGATGCAGGGCCCCACACAGGTGCTTGCCTTCATCCAGGCCGCTACATCCTCCAGCTCAATGAAGTCCAAGATGGAGTTTTTCACCCTGGCGATGGGGCCGTCCTCATCCACGAGCCGGCAGGTGTGGAACTTGTCACAGTAGCCTGTCTTGTCCCAGCATGGGGAGCCAGGGGTGAGTGGGATCTGTGAGCTGTTGAAGTAATGCTCCAGCAGGAATGAGGCCGTGCTGGCACATGTCCTGGCCTGGCCTACAACAGATGGTTTAAAAGGGCTTGAATGATCAAGGCCTGGACACGCAGTGGGTAATGCACCTCAGCACTGGGCTGCCCTGGCTCTGATTTTCATGTTACTTAATGCTCAGCTGCTCCCAAGGTCCATAACTGCATCCCTTAGCACCCTGGGAAGCCTTAGTCCTATTATAAAATGGAGCTGCGGGGTTGGGTTTTAACCCCATGTGCAATGGGACCATGCTACCAGCCTGTCTGTGCCATAGGAGTAACTGTGTCAGGGTATTGTGTAGTCCCTGCATAGAAGGCACTGCTGCCTACAACCAACAGCCTCTTCTGTGTCCTTGATGTAGGGCCAGTAGCAACACTCCCAGCCCTCATGCTTCTCTCTGCCCCAGGGGGTGCTGCTTCCCCTGATCCCAAGTCAGCATACCTGGTTGCTGGCAGCAGAGATGGCATTTCTCCCTCATAGAGCTGCTGACGCAGTCACATTGCTCCAGTCCGTACTTAACACAGAGGGAGGCGAGGCAGAGCTAGGGAATTGAGCGAGAAATAGGAGTGGGATTTATGGGATATGCCTGGTCCAGGCCAGTGATCTGTCCCAGGCAGGGAGCAGGTGTATTCACCAAGGGACCAAAACTCTCCCAAGTGCTGGCTCCATTTAACAAGACAAAGTGTCTTCCCAAGCCCTGTTCCCAATGGAAGGTACCAGGCAGACTGAATTCCTTGTGTCACCTGCAGCGCATGCTGCATCATGCCCCATGGCTAGAGGGGAGGCCACAGGCCTTGCCAGTCTGCAGCAGGTCCTTAGTCTAGTACTTGCATCTCCCAGAGGCCAAGCCAGGACCCCTGGAGTGGACTGTGTTGGAGTAACCTGCTTGCAGGGAGAGGTTGGTAGTGAGGGGCTGCTTTAATGCCTCTAAACTATAGGGTTTCAATCCTTTCCTGTGCTATAAATGCCCTATCCCTATGTGAGTTCTGCTGAGCTCTTTGCCTCACAAACACCCTGTGGCAGTGAGTTCCTCAGGTTAACTGCACCTAGCATGGGGCTACTTAGCTTGAACCTGCTCTAGGGGAGCCTTTGAGGCCCTCACCCATGCAGTAAGCAGTGCTATGGCCCATCCTATTTAGCCTGGGTTAGCCCTTGAAGTCACTGGCTGTCACAACCCCCAATCAGACAAGATTAACAGTCAGGACTAACCCCAGCGACGCAGATCCGTGTGCCCCTGCTGCAGAATGTGCCGTTGTCCCTGGGGACGGGTGTGGGGCACTGAGCCGCTAGCCCAGAACAGATGCTCGCGAAGGCGCACTCCGTCTCCTCTTGGCAGAGCTCCCCTTTGGATTTAAAGACACAGTCCTGGCTGCAGCACAGGCCCTGGCTCGAGCTGGGAGATGGAGCAATGGTTCAGATAAGCTTGGGGAAGTAGCCAACCCACAGCATGGCAGCAAGCTGCCAACTCGGTAGTAACAGCAGAACCGAGGCAATGACTTACCTCCTGGGTATGAGCGTCATGCACATGAGTTATTAATATGGAGTAATGACCATGACTGCGGACACATAGGGGTATCAGTTTAAAACAAACACTGCGGGGCTGGAGACCTTGCTGGTATTGAAGGGCTTTGAAAGAAGCCGCCCCTCCTAGCAGGGGTGGCTCAGTCACTTATGCATCCAGTTAGATCAAAATACCTAGCAATAGGTATAGTGCCCTGGCTTTGTTGTCCCTAAGGAGCTGTTGCTGTTACACGGAGCACTGTGTGAATGTGGCACCTTGCAGCTATGCAGGGTAGAGGAAATGTTGCTGATAAGCAGCTATCACTGCAAATGGGCACTGAGCATATCTACAGGCCCTAGAGCGTGAGGCTCAGGTCCCATGGCTGTATCCTTGCTTCCTGCTTGCAAGTGCCACTATGTGTGTTGTGGGCAAGCCCCTGGGATACTTGTCACAAGTAACAAACAGCTCCCTGCCTCAGCCACCCTCAAAAGAGCTTTTAAGTGCCCTTGGGTGTCTCTGGCAGGATCCTAGGAGAGACATTTTGCAGCAAATAGGATGAGCGTCGCCCACAAAGTCTGATGGGAAGAGAAGGAACAGCTAATAAGGCATTAGGGACACCTACCTGCACTGCGCCCCTGGCTTCAACCTACAGCCGATGCCGTCCAGCTCACTAGCTGCATAACAACAACGGTTGGAGATGTCACTCCCCACATCGCACTCCTCCCCTGGGTCCACTATCCGGTTGCCGCAGATGGGACGGTCAGTTTCTGAATGGAAGGGAAAGAAAAATAGATCCAATGATGAGACCAGGAGCTGACTGTGGAGCTGATGACATGGGACTAGCAAGACTGGCTGGACAAACACCTGATGTTTGGTGATCACAAGCTGTCGTGTACGTCAAGCCATTTACACAACGCAATGCATTAAGGGGAGGGAGTGGAGAGATCCGCTTGTTCCCTGAAGACTCAATTTTGCTTGGCCTTTGCTTTAGCATGGGGTGTCACTAGTCATAAAACGGAACCCTTTCTGAACCTCTAATCTGGGAACAGCAAATTGATCCTAGTGCTCCCTACAAATATCCAATGGTGCTTTGTCTTGTGTTAGTCCTTAATTCACCAGCTGCCAGTTTCATGGTACAGTCCAATCTGCACTTGGACCCATTAGCATTTAAATAGTCAAGTCCCCTGTCCATCCATCCACCTGTCCACACCTACATTTATGGCACCCATCACTATGTTATCTAAGTAGTTCTCCAGGCTAAATAATTTCAGCTTTTTGCTGATGTCTTGCTATAGCTGAGAGCTGCCCACAGTGTTTTGGGGAAACAAAAAGAAATCCCTTTGCTATAATTTACATCTGAAATGACACCTACAGAGACCCAAGGAAGGGGACTTGCTACCTGAAAGTTTGTCTCTATCCCTCCCAGCTATAGAGTCGGTTCAATAAAAGAGATCACCCACAACAAACCAAGGCTAAGAGGTCTAACAGCAAAGAATCACTGAGCTAATTGCAATTAGCACAGACAAATGACAGCAGAATTTAAAGAATTCAGACACATTACTGCCTCTTACCAACAAAGCACATGTCCTTTTTGGCTCTCAGGAGCTTCCCGATGTACTCGATGCTGCACGTGGAGAACTTGTCATTGTTGTGTTGCCATCCATCAGTGGCATGACCAAACATCAGGTAGTTCCCGTATGTGGTGTCAATGTTGAAACGCGCACATTCTTGACTCTCATCGTGCTGAAACAGAAGATTGCATGCTCTGAACGTGGAACAGGAGCCAAACCAACCTGAAGGGGGCTTTTCTATTCTCTGATCATAAAAGGCATTTTTAGGACTTTGCAGATTCATGTATACTGTTAAAAGATGACACTTCCTGCTAGGTTGTGAATACACAATGCAACATCATTCATGAGTGCAGCCTCTTTCATCTCAACGTGCTTCACAAACTTCTCTGTGTTTCAATATCACATAATGCCTACTAGAGCTGCTGGAACCGTTTTGTCAAAGATTATTTTGGATGTTGTCATAGAAGCCAATAAGTTAATTCAATAGCAATGTATTAGCTTCACAAACCAGTCTGGTTCTATGCATTTAATAGATGGAATTCCAGACAGGCCCCTGTTCTATGGACATATAAAACACTTCAAAAATCAGTCATTTCTTGAACACAAAAGCTTGAAAAACCCTAGATAAGAGTGCCAGCTACAAGGTTCGGGGGATTTGGAATTCAAGGCTTTCTTTTCCTCCCAGAACTAAATTACACAGCAAGTCATAAAAAGCCCGTTAAAGTGTCTGAAAAGATGGACTTTGGAAAGCCCTGAAGAAAATGAGCATGGTCCAATGGCTAACCCAGGTGTTAGCCTTGCACCCAGGAGACCTGTGCTCTATGCCAGATCACCTGTGACCCTGCACTCTCAGACTGCTTCATTTAGCTCTTTTGGCTCCCCATGGCTTAATCTCATCCTGCCCCATTGGTGATCTGCTTTGACAGCCAGGCCTGAAAAATGCAGCACTGGTCCAGTTCTCTCTGCTGAGCATCTGCTTTGGCTACCTGAAAGAGGGGAGGCTTCCCTGCCATCATCTGCGCAGATCCTCTGCTTTTAAGCATCACTCCCACTTATCCCCACAATGCCTTCCGCGTGCTCACATGGGCTCCCAGGCTGTGACCCAGCTCGTGGGCCAGGACGATGTGGATTATCCGAGGTGGCAAGTATTGGCCATAATTCTGCAGCGTGATCAGCCCTGTGTTCAGAGAGGTCTCCTGGTCCCGGAACTTCTTGTGCTTAGAGCAGATGCCACCCAGGTCACCTAGTCCAGAAAGAAAAAAGCAAAAACTCTGGAGACGCAAGCCAGAAATCAGAGGAGTAAAGACTAGGATCCAGAGCAAGTGGAAAGTGAAGAGTTTTTCCAAACAAATTTAGACTAAGCATCAAACACAACATTTCTTATAAACTCACAGGGCTGGAAAGGACCTCGAGTCATGTGGTCCAAAGCCTGAGCAAAGATAGGAACGTTACTCCTAAACGACAACTCACGTTAAGAAAAGGAACTGGCGAGACTTTGAATAACAGTACCAGATGGTGACTTATCATGGTTATAGTTACAACCAGAGTGTGACCACCCTTCGTTTTTAGTGCATATGGCACAAAATCTATCTAAAGGCTGTTTCTTACCAGCTTGTCCATTAAAAGCAATCCCAAGAACCCCACTGTAGTCTCTGTCTGTCAGGAGGTAGGAGAGGCAATAGGTATTCCAGTTGGACTTGGAGTGCAGCATCAGAAGCATTTCTGGACCGATGTACGGCGAGTCCCTGGAGTCAGAAGGATTATTCTCCTGGATTATCTACAGCGCAGAAACAACACAAGCTGGCCAGTCACTTGCTGTGACATGTAGCAACAGAGATTTTATTTTTAACAGTCATGTTTCTCGTGAACCACCCAATATCATTCATCACTAGCATTATAAGTTACAAATGAATGAGCAATCTAAGCCTGCAAACTCCCTTAGCCAAATTGTCCCCTTCAGGCAACCACCCCTTAGAAAAATGAAACCAGACATCCATCTGCCTTGGCATGCGTTTGGGTCCTGAAGAACCTCATCCAAAGCCCATGGAGATCAAAACCCGAGTGCCCAACTGACTTACGCTTAATGTTTTCACTTTGAAGTCAATGTGCCTGATACCGTCAAAATCTGTTCCTTCGTAAACGGCATTCACTGCTTTTATGTAGCTGGCAACCTGCGGGGGAGACACAAACGTTAATTGGACAAAACCACTTGTCATGAATACAGCACTGGGCGGGGAATGCAGGCAACCTCGACTTTGTTCTCTGCTCTCCTGCTCACCTTCCTGCTGACCTCAGACAGCTCTTGTCACCTGTCTGTGCTGCAATTTTCCCCCTTTGTCGAATCAGGTTAATGATATTGCCCTCCTTTGTAAAAGTACTTTAAGATCTACTGGTGGAAAGTGCTGTATAAGGGCCAGGGAGGACTGTTATTCTTACTACCTCAAATTGGCAGGAGACAGAGAGGAAAAGTCAGCAAGAGGTATTGTTATTCTTAAGCTGGTTCAAAGAAGATTTAACTTGTGCAAGGTTATGTCACAATTGAAAGGTAACTACTACAAGGAGCCCCAAGGCAGACAGCCTCCTTGCTACTCTTACCCTAACAACAATGGTAATGAACCTTTAGTTTTATATATAAGCAAGTAACCCCTTAATAAGGCCCGTGGATCTCTGTGTTATGTACAGAGTTAGCAACCTAAATACACAGAGGTATTATTATTACTCCCCATTTTGCAGATTGTGTACTGAGGTCCAGAAAGATGAAATGGTGCCTCCAAGGACATACAGGGCATTCCCGAGAGAGCCAAGAACTACACCTGCATCCAAATCCAGTGCCTTCCCCATAATTCCTGACACAAGCTGATGATTCTCCAAGCAGTTCACTCCTTCTACCTTTCTCCAGTGTTACCATACTGTGTGAGAGATGGGGGAGTGAATGGGATCCACGATGCCATTCAAATATCGTGACATCATTACAGCAGTGATGAGTTTTTCCAATCAAACCAGTATTTTAAGGAACATTACATTCACCAATCATTGTTTTCGAATAGCAGAAGGAACAACAACAGTAACAATTAATACTCGTACCTGAGAAACCACTGCCTCTGTGGTGCCAAATCTTTGGTAGAACAAGTAATCAACTTGCAGATGCAGCAGGCAGGATGTCCTAGAATAATCCAAACTCCTCTTCTCTCTCTCCAGGGTTTCCCCCTTTTTTTTGACAGAAAAGTTTTGGAGTGTGTAGGGATATTCTGGGTTATAATTAATTTCCAGGGCAAAATGGAGCAGCAGCAGCTTCAGGGAGGAACATCAAGGTCTTATGCACATGCTCAACTTCTTACACACATGCTCATGCAGGTCCCATTGAAGTCACCAATATTTAGAGCCAGATACAGAGAATTGCTGAGCTTAGAAATATTACCTATGTGTCAACATCTTGCCAGAACTATAAACTTCATGAAAATGGGAGATGTCCCAAAATCTTTTTATTTTTTTTTATCTTTCCCCTTAAACCCAATTCTTCTCCCAAATTTAGGCCTCTCACATAATTTCTAAACCCTCACGGCTACACCAACACACTTAAAATACCCACATTTAGGGAAATCGGATTTATTCTGGGAACAGTAAATAGAATCTAGCCTCTTTTTCCATCTCCCGCTCTCTATAGCAGGTGGCGAGGCACAAGAGCTCCGTGACGGAGAATCAAAGCCCTTTGAGTTCCCATGCCCACCAGCATGTTATTCAGTGAATTCAGAACCAATCAATGTCCCATGCAGTCCTTTCCTCATGGTACTTTCATTGCTTCAACTTGTTTCATTTTGAGTTAAAACTATTCTCTACCATTTCTTTTCACCTTTAACTTTAGCTCCTGCTGGAAATGTTGCAGGATCTGATGTGCTCTCTCAGTCAAGGCAGCAGAGTCTGGATCGTCCAACAAGGAATAATCTAGAGTGAAAATTCAGATGTCACACAGAGAGACCTCAGAATTGTGCAGGGATGATCCTGCCTTGATAGAGCACTAGCTCAGATGATCTGCCATCCATATTTTTATATGATTTCTACGTTTCAGCAATTTCTAACTCCCTCCCAACAATAACCCTAGCATGATTTGAGCAGATAATCAGGCATCAGGGCTCTTGGGTTCAGTTCCAGCTGAGGACACTAGAAACCAAGAGTCCTGGTGTCTATTCCCTGCTCTGCCACTGATTCACTATGTGGCTTTGGATGAATCATTTCACCTCTTTGCCTCAGTACAAAACACAACAAATAGTCAGAAAGAGATCTAAGCCCTGATTGCTGCATTCGGTGTTTATAAAAACCTTTGGGATCAGCAGATGTAAGGTGCATTTGAAATGCCAGGTCAAACAGCAGAGGCAATAGCTACTTCTGAGCTGCAAAATATTCTTTTATAAACCTCAGTCACTCCAAAGACCTGTGCTAGAGTCTGGTACTCACCTATGTCACGTTCATGATGGATCAGAGAGTGACCTGGAGAGGTGTGGGTGCTGGTGCACGCTCCGGCAGACTCCACGTAATAAGTGCCGTTCTTGGTTCGGATGAACCCTTCGAAAAGGCCATTGTGGATAGACCCATGGCAGAAGGATCCAGGCTCATCTGTTTTGCCGGCACAGGGGTACAGGCAAATGAGAAGGAGGCTTTCATCTTCATTACCAGTTACAGAAGAGGTCTGGGGTTAACAACCACTGGATATTGATCAATTTTTAGCATCTGAGGTGGCCCCGCTCCTGTTACCTGTAGCCCTGGTAATGCTATCTTAGTAGCTGCTGCAGGGGATGTGGCCATGTTCCACCCATTTTATGCACACGCCGCCCAAAGTAGCCACCTACCTGCAGTGTCCCCACTCATCCATGCTGCTTCACCGAACTTCCATGAGTCAAACATGTTGTGTGATAACAGATGCTCAACAGGCTCTGAAGATACCCGCCTTCCTCCCTCACTTTCAAGGCTCTGCTTCAAAGCGAAGCCCTTCTGGCTGCCAGTTTTTCTGAAGCCGCACGATCACCGCATGGCAAATCACAGGGCTCCCTGCTCTCCGAAGGGGCAATCTCCCTGCAGGGTCCCCAGCAACTGCCCCCAAGCTCCAGGAGACCATGGATGGAGCTCATGTCCCTGAACACATCTGGAAGTCAGCTTCTAGCCACATTGGCAGTGCAATACATAAACCAGAGAAGGGGTCCATCTCATTGCCAATGCCTGTCTGATGCTCTGTGGGCTCCATGTAGTGAGTTTGCAGGGTCTCAATCCATGGGAGTCCACATCAAAGAAACCAGCACCCTGATAACTAGGAAGAACCAAATGCTATCAGGGCATTGAGACTGAACACTCGTGTCCCTCCCTATCAGGGAAAAGGGTCAGGCTGTCTGGGGGGCTTGGTGAACTGTTAATGGTCCCTCTATTCTCACTGGGAAGTGTCCATGCTCAGGGCAGCAGGTTTAACTTTTACCGTGCAAGCCTCCAGAGTAAATAAAAGAGACATCTCCTGGCTTCAAGCTGTCCTTGACCTGGATCTCAAAGTCCTTGGTGAAAGCACTCGTGTCCCTGCTCAGCCTCAGCTTGAAGGTCCTGGAAAGGAAGTGAAATGCCTGGAGTTGGTCTATGTTTTGGGGTGTTGATTGTAGCCGTGTTGGTCTAAGGACACGGGCAGACAAGGCTCTTTGGGTAGATGTGAAATTTTTTATTAGACCAGCTGAATAGTTGGAAAAATTGTTCTCTGCAAACTTTTGGGCACAGTCTTCAGGCATAGGGAGAGTCTGCTGGTGTTATAGTCTTCTCTCTAGGGTCAAATAGAAGATTATGCCAATATGTCAAATGCAAGTCTGTGAAAATGCAAATGTGTGGCAGGGAAGATCAGAGGGGATAGGCATTAATGGGCGTGAAACAGGTAGGTTGTGGGGGGGGGGGGGGGGACAAAAGAGGGGAATTTTGCCCACCACACACCTACCTCTCTCACACCCATTAAGTCCTATCCCCTCTGATCTTCCCTGCTGTGCAAAGAGCATTTTTTTCTAATTATTTAGTTGGTCTAATAAAACATACCATATTTACCCAAAGAACCTTATCTGCCTATGTCCTCAGACCAACACAGCTATAACCAATACCCCTGCTGCATTTGCATTTTCACAGACTTGCATTTTGGCTTAAGTTTCTGTTTGACCCTAGAGAGAAGATTAACACCAGCAGATTTTCCCTATGACTGAAGAAGGGCGTTTGTGCCCAAAAGTTCGCAAAGAACAATTTTTCCAACTAGTCAATTAGTCTAATAAAAGATATTGCATTTACCCAAATAACTGTGTCTACCTGGAGTTGGTCTAAACACCTTCCATCTCCTGCTGCCTTCTATGCTGTGGAGAAGAGTGCGAGAGCTTTCACCTGTTGCCATCAGCAATAACTTCTTTTAGAACAGCTCTGTCCTCTTCAGTCCATCACCATGGTATCTGGCCACTTCCCCAAATCATGTGTAGCCTCAACTGGAAGAAGTCACTTTTCCCCTTTGCTCACACAATTCCCCCCTCCCTCTGCTCGCCTCGGCCACTGAACTCCCCAGGCAACTCTGTGCTGTGACAGATGCAGTTCAGAGTCCTGCAAAAGGCCAAACCAGCCCTGTAGCTCCTGGCATATGGAGTCACAGGTATGTCCAAGATGCTTGGCTGGGACTCAGCTCCAGTGCTGTTTGTCCCAGGGCCCACAAATAAATAATTCCAACCACAAGTGTGGGGAAAAAGTGCTGGCAAACTGGCAGGCACAGAATATATTGCAGATTCAACACATTCACATATCTCACATCTGGAACCAGAGCTTGGCCCCTGGAGTTAATGAAGTGTTCCTTTCGCTGCAGTAACAGAGCTGCGCAAGCAGTAACGTGCCATTTCCAGGACAAGTTTTGAAAGCAGCAAACAAAGAAGGGGGGGAACTTACTAAATTCAACGTAGCACGTGCTGAACATCCAGCGGTTCACTACTGACAATGTCTTGACCTCGGTTAACAGCCCAGCTACCTGAACATGGATGAACGGGTGGACTTTGTAACCTCGGAAGATGTTCTGCGCTTATCCCCTCTACCAGCTGCTGTCACCACACAATGGAAGTCAAATCTCATCCACAGTACTAGAAGTAGTGGTGTAAGCTTTGCCTCCATTATAGATGCGTATAAAACATTTAGCAACCAGTCAGCGAGCAGAGGGGGCTGTAACCTGCCTATCATGTGGCCAGTATTGCCTTAGGGTTTCCTGGCTTCTGACCATTGTTAGCCACCTGTTATACAGTGGCTGTTGCCTCATACGGCCTATGCAGTATGGGGCAGGCCCCATCTTTGTTTCCTGTGGGCTTTGTACAGCACCTAGCACCGGGACGTTCCTGTCCCTGACAGGAGCTTCCAGGTGCTGCAATATAAATGATGATGGATCACTTGAACACAATCTGAAACGAAGCATAATAGGATAATGTGCTAGCTGTACATGCCGTACATACCTGCTGGATTTCAGCTTGTTGTAGCACTGCAGTATTTAATGATTTAGATCAGAGAGGATTTGGCCTCAGTACAGACCCTGGACACAAATATATGGAGCCACGCACCTCTGATAGGCTTGGAATTCCAGCTGGATCAATGTTTCATGCTCTTCTGCAGCTCTTTTTGACTTCTGATGCAGCTGTTCTAAAGCTTCTGTGTCATAAAACACTCTCTCATAGTATTTTACAAAGGGCCTTAAATGCTCGGGTCTATTCACTGAAAAGGGAAGGAAAATAGATACAGATTCATGAAGGTTGGGGCATTTTCAGGCTGTAGATAGATATAACTTTAAAGCACTTTAACAGAAGGGGGGTTCGCTGCTTTGCAGCCGGTATCAGCTGTTCTGATTTACATGGATAGGAGCATAAATGAAAACCACCGTAACCTGAAAAATGAAAGCAGTTTTAAATTTACAGAGGTATAGCTTCTCTTACACCACTAGCATAATTTAACACCGGCATAAGGGTTACATCCGTCCATGGCCTTTGTTCTGCCCTTGCACATTGTGTTATTTGAGGTGGAAGGACTGGTCTAGTGTTTATAATGCAGGGCTGGCATCGATGGCTTTCCTTCATTTTGGCAGCGATTGCGAGACTGAAGGCGATTTGTCTCTCTCCCTGAGCCAGGTAGGGTTGGAGGTTATGGTTTAAAAAAGCTTCCCACTCCCAGAAAAAACCTGGCTTTTCCTGGATCAGCCCAGACTTACTTGCTCTACATGAAGGACCCCAGCTA